TTTGAGTGGAGGGGTATTGGCACTATAATAAAATTACATAATTTGCCTGTCTTAAAAATTAAATATTTAAGTTATCTAACCAACCAGTTTTTTTCTTAATTAATAAGCATTAAATAAATACAAATAATTTTGTTGAGTTTGATAGTTAAAAATGATAACATAAATTTTAATTTGATCAGCCTTGAATAGTATATTTCTAATCAATTATTTGTTAATAAATTCAATTAAATCTAAAAGCTTTAATATTAATATTTTAAAATAAAATAATATAATTAACAAAAGTAATTACTAAAATGAATTATTAAGTTAGTATTGTGTTAATTTAGTTTACTTAAGAATTGTATGTAATATTTTTATAATTTAGTTGACCAAAACAGAATCGACTAATTTTATAAACTAAACTCACTGGGGTTTTACAACAGTGTTAGTTCATAAATATCAAATGGCATTGAAATGTCGAAAAACAATATATTTTTTATTATCAGAAATCAATTTTAAAAATAAATAATATCATATGCTAAAATTAATAATAATTAAAGTAAAACAAATTAAATAACCATTAAATTATATGACTTTAGTTTTTAAACAATACTTTTTATTTTAGATGTATAAGTGATGCCCAAGAATCTTGAATTAATTTTTTATTAACTAAAATCTCTTTATAATGGTGTATGTTTATTTTTGTACTTAGTCACTATAACACTAAATATCAAATCACGTTTTTATCACACTCTTTTTCAAACAATTTTACAAAAAAAGACCAAATTATTGTTATGTATTATGTATGTTGTCAACAATTTTTAATTTTCAATGCAATACTATTAAATAATTGCTAGTTATCAAATAATATTTTAGAATCAAATAATTATTATAAGTTTCATAGTTATCATAGTTTAGTGAATAAAATAAATATGGCTAAAAAATAAATTACACACTTAAGTAACAACTTATTTTAATTATTTTATGAATTATTGTTTCTGTAAACGTAAATTATAATATAACAAAGTTCTAGAAAATAGTTTTATCCCATCCACATTTATTTATATAATTTTCATGATGAGCATTGGCAGAAAGAAGTAGTCCATGAATATTTCATTTGCCTCCTAAAATTAGGTAATTTATACGTAGTATTATATTATAATAGACCGTAAAAAAATATAAAAATGTATCATTTGACCTATGAAATTTCTATAAAATTGATAAATTATGTGTTTCAAACAGTAGTTATTAAAACCTTGAAATTGCACAACTTTGTGATGTGTGCAAGGATACTATAACACAATGAAACATTTGCTTATATTAATATTAATATTAATATGTATTTTAATTTATATTTATATATGTATCTTATAAATCGTTACTTTCAATCTATATTTTGTATTATTTTTTTGAAAATTAATTTTTACGGTTATGGACTACATTAAAAACAAAGTTTTTATTATTTTTCCAAATGTAGTATTGTGATTTTTACAGAGATATTATAAAAATATATAAAGTAGCTGTTACTTTTATAGCAAACGTGTATTAAAATCGAAAGGGTTAACGTAATAATTTTCAAAAAATAATGTGTTTATTACTTGTGAATAAACTTCCTAGTCTACAAGGGAATTTCATCAAAAACCAAAATATACATTTCTATGCCCATTTTTGCTTTAAAAAGCATATTTGAAATCGGCGCAAAGACCTATGTTTAAATATTATCCCAATTAAATAGAAATTTTAATTTAGTATTTTTCTTAGTATTTTGGTTTTTATAATTGTTATCTATTTATATTTCAAACAAATGTAATAAACTTCTTTTGTTTTATTAATTTTTGTATTTTTAACAAATTTATTTTTTTAATTTTCAAATCAACTATCTACTTCAACAGAATAATTTACTCACTAAATACTTTTTATAATAATTAACTAACTTATATAAATTATTAACATACAATAAATATAGTCTTGAATAATAAATAGAAAATATAATATATAAAATACTTCATAAGAAATCAATGCAGATACTCCATAATTTTAAATATCTGTAAATTTCGATTTTTATTCAAACGACAAATTCGTCGTTTGATAACATTTTTACTGATAACATTTTATAATGTTTACATCGCCCGTCCACCTATGACAGGGTAAACCCACATCATGTGGGTGGGGGGACTATGCCTTTCACCATATTTCCCCGGCCGTTTACACCACCCGTACACCTAGGGAGAGGAAACGGCCGAGCCCGTTTTGGGGGGGTCCCAGCTCATACTTTATACTCCTACTTCTTTAAATAGTTTATTTTAAGAGTATTGATTGAAAAATTTCTACGTGATTATCATCATCAACAGTGAGATCTATGTAACTTGCAAAACATGGTATAAACAAATTGAGAGCACAGTAATACACCACTTGTTTTCCTTGGGGCGTATCAATAAAGTATCCCACAGCTGATTTTATCTTGCCTACAGTTGGAAATCGTACCTAATCTGCCTAAATCATTTAGATTCATTATATATGAATCGATTTGTGCACTAAAGGTGGTGATACCGTCATTATCAACAGCTATTTGATTATTTCCATATGTATTAGGGGTAACACTAAGATTTGCTTTTGTGGAATTTGTGTTATAACAGTCCAACACCCCATACATACAGGCACGTAGACAAGAGTGGGCCTGGGTGGGCCTGGCCACCCTTAAATTTAATGTGGCCCAGAGCCGGCCCCCCCAAATTTAAAATTCAATTATTTTTACGAATTATCAAAAACGTGCTAGGCCTTATATACATTGAAATTGTTATTAATTTGTGATTACTATTGAGTAATACAGTTATTATTATTATGGCTGCATTTTCATTTTTATATTCATAGAAAACGTTAGGGGTGACGGTGTTACCGGTATACCGATTTGAGGTCGATATACCGGTATACCGTCTTTTTTATTTATACGATATACCGAAAATATCGAATATACTGATAATCCCAAAAATATCGAAATATCGAGTATACCGATAACCGAAATTAGTTATTGAATATTTTAATCTATTTTTAGATTGTTCAAAATTTCCAGTGAGAAATATATGACAAATTTACAATACTAAATATATATATCTTAAATACCGATATGGGTTCGTATTATTTTGTTTTTATCGTTGCATGTTGTTTATCACAATAATTGCATCTTATCGTTTATATCGAATTGAACATAAAATTTGGAACCTATAAATTTAGAGTCAGAACCTTTAAAGTGGTGGAAAGTCTATTAAAATGAATTTCTAACTTTGGCCGTACTTGGTAAAAAATATTTATGCGTGCAGGGTACTAGTGTTCCAAGCGAACGTGTATTCAGTTGTGCGGGCAATATAATTACTGATCATAGATCATTCTATCAACAGAGCATTCCGAAGAACTCATATTTTTATCTATGAACTCTAAATTTGTATCAAAATAATTAAATAAAATAATAATTTGTGATCTTGTTTTTTTTTTATAAATTTAATTATAAATAAATTAATTCGTATTAATGTTATTATGTAACATTATATTATTATGTAATATCGGAAATACCGAGATACCGAAATATCGAGTATATCGAAATTACCGTAACCAAATACCGGTTTAACGATATTTTCGGTATACCGATTCATACCGGTAAAAAATATCATACCGAAATATCGAAATTAAAAAAAAATACCGTCACCCCTAGAAAACGTTATTTGAAAAAGATAACGTTCTAGACGTAATAATAAATGGAATAGCAATTACTCCAAACGTGGTTGTAGGTAAATTTTTTTTAACTCTGGTCTAACAAATGATAAGAAACTACCAAGTATCTGCATTGATTAGATTCTAGTTAATTAAAAAATTCGATAGAATATACTCTATGAAAAATTTTTTGATAAATCTTATCTTTAATTTTTTTCTATTTTTATAATTTAGTAGTTACAATAGGTAATTTATTTGTTTTTGTTAATTTGTTATTTTCGTGCTCTAAATAATAGTAATTAAAATATGACTAAAAAAAGGCAGGAATTGTTTTTAATTTTAAATAAAATAAATTTTACATTGTTTATAATTTATATTTATTTTAAAATTTTTTATAATTTCTTTGTTATTAGTATTCAGGAATAAATTATTTTTTCTTTATAGCTTAAAAGTTCAAAATAAAAGTTGAAAAATTAAATCAGCATATGTTCACATCATTATTTTATTAGCTTCGATGCAAAGCTGAGAAGGTATTATTTTTACTATGATGTGTTTTTTTTTTGTGTCTGTTACCACTTTTTCTCAGCTCTCACTGAACCCATTTCTTTCAGTAATACGTCAAAAGATCACAAATCGTATCTAGTCAAAGACATTACCCTCAAAAATTGCCATAACTTTTTTATATAGATGTATGATATCGTTACTTTTCATTTGATATATTTTTTTTATAAATCTGACCCTTTACCTGCCCACGGGGGGGATTTAAAATGACAACTTTTTCAAAAAAAATTAACTTTTTTCACTTAAATTTTTAAAATGTTCCGGAAAGTCTGACACTTTTATCTATATCTTAAATTAAAGCTAACGTAATGTACTATTTTATTTAAAAAAATTTCGGAGTTAATTTTGTCTTCACGGTGAAAATGGCTACCGAACGCTATTTTTGTGTAAAAATTCTCGATTTTGTATTTTACATTTTTAACTTTATAATGCTATAACTTTTTGAAAAATGTATGGATCAGCACAATTTTTTTATGAAAAATAATATTTTTTAATAATCCCTTTTTCATTCGACATACTTTATCTTAATCAGGATATTAATAAGGAAATAGCAGATCATGTAACTTTTGGAATAATCCACCAATTTTTTAAAAATAAACACAAATTTTGAACTTGTAAGATTCATAGAATGGGATACTGTCTAAGGAGGAGTTGAGGGACCCCCCTACAAGCTTTTCATGGTAAACAAATTATGGAAAATGATACAAGGGCCCAAAATTGTTGGCCCCTCCAATAAACATTTTCTGGCTACGTGCCTGCATACATATCTTTATTTGTGATAGTTGCAGAAAAGGATTCACGTTAAACATCATAAACTCGCTGTTGTCCATAATGACTTGTGAGGACTTGAACTAGAAGTCAAATTCATTTGAATATTTTCCTGCGACTGCGGTATTCATATACGAACCATCATGAGTCTCATCTTCATCATCTAGAAATAAGATCTATGTATGCAAATAATTTTTAATTGATATATTTAATATATATATATTTATATTTAATATATATATATATATTTAATTGAAAAAATAATTTTCTTCCTCAGAAAAATTAAATTATTTAGTATTTAAAAAATTATGCTCACGAGAGTTGTGAACCACTTTGCTTTCTTTAGATTTTTGGACCTCCGATGTCTTTTCAATCCATAGATTTTATTCGGACGCACTTGACGATTGCTTTAAAATAAACAAAGTTATGTTAAAACTTTTCTTTTATATAATCATAATTAATTTAAAATTTAGTGAGAATTTAATAGTTTTTAATTTTATTTTATAGTACATTAAATATGATATATCATATAAAATTATCAATAAAAATCTATTTAGAATACTGCTTACTTATTTTAAGAGAAATAAGAATAAAATTATTTTTGAAGTCTTGAAACCAACTTTCCCTAGAAATCATTATTTCTATCAGCAGCTGAAAGGTTTCACGATGACCATCATAAACTTGCTATTCTTCATAATGGCTGTTATGAGGACTTGAGCTAGGAGTCAAGTTCATTGGAATATAATTGGACGTGGTATAATTTCTAACGATGCAGCATTGAGACTAGTGATGGGCATTTTAGAATATTTTAAACTGTCAAATAGTATTCGATAGTTTTTTAAAACTATCGAATAACTATTCGAATTGTTTTTATACAACCGAATAGTGTGTTTTCAACGTAAACTATTCGAATAAACTATCGAATAGTTTCAAAAAATATTCGATTAGTTCTATCTAAAATTTTTATTAAGTACACTTAATTATAATAAGAAGATAATTAACGAATACTTATTAAATTCGTTTTAGGTTCGTCCCTTATACCTTATAAGTGTATCAACTTTATTTTTTTAAAGGGCAATATACATAATTAACTAACTTATAGGTTAGATAATAATATTATTAATAAAATGACTAATCGAAAACATTTGGACTAGTATTTCAGAAGTTATAGCATTTTAAAAAGTGAATTTGGGATGAGTCGCAGGTATATATTAGGGTAGCTTTTATTTTCTTAACTTTCATTGATTGATCTCTATATCCGCCAATTTTGTTTTTTATTATATGAAAGTTATTTGTGTAAAATTTGATTTTGATAACTTACCCCCTTCAAGTTCGAATCGGTGTTCAAAATTCGCTCAAAAAGGTAATTTTGCAGTTTTTGATTATTATTTTTAAAACTAACACACTTAGTGTAACAATGTATAGAATATAAATAATTTATAAATAATCTATAATTATTATAGATTTTAATATTTTCTTCTAAAATGGTATTTACAAAATTTTCTAAAATTATTTTTATTTACTCAAAATTAAAAAAAATAATTTGCTAAAATTAACTTTTTGAATATAAATCATTTTTAATATTCGAAATAATCATTTTACATCAAAATGTTTCGTAAAATAAATATGTAAAGTTAAATTTTCTAAAATACTGGTCTTATGTAAAATTATAGTCAAATTTATAGTTTTGCTGTTTTAATAACACTAACGATATAAATAGGATTGTTTAAAACTGTTTATCAGGGTACTACGATAATAAATGGGATACAATTAATAATAAAAAAAATTAGTGATGGGCATTTTCAAATAACTAAACTACCGATTAACTATTAGAATTGTGTTTATACCACCGAATATTTTATTTTTAACATAAACTATCAAATATTTTAAAAACTATTCGAATTAACTATCGAATAGTTTTACTATTTTGAATGACTATCGAATAGTTTGATAGTAACTATTCGATATTTCCCATCACTAATTGAGACGCACTTTACGATTGCTTTAAAATAAACACAGTTATTTAAAAAATTTTCAAAAATATGTATTATTGTTCGATTTAATTTTTAATTTCCATAAAAATATTTTAATGAGTAAATATAAATACTAAGGGCAGAATTCTTAGTGTTTTATATGTACTCATTCTTACAATAATAAATTGTCGTTTAATATAGCTTTTAAATATTATCACTAAATATTGTACATAACGTTAACTATAGTATTTGTGAGTGGATAATTATTGATGAAATAATTCTTATATATTAAAATAATGTTCTCTTCCTTTGGTAATTTTAATTAGTTTCTTTTTTAAGACTCGACCCAAATATTTATGTTAGAAGATGCATTTATATGGTAAATATCATAGTTCGTTTAAACTTTAGTGTGAATTCAATAGTTTTGAATTTCATACACTAAAGTTTTATTACTTGTTTAGTAATTAATCTGTGTTTTTTTTTAAATTTATAAGTAATATTATTTAATTATTTTAAGAGAGAAAATAATAAAATTACTTTTGATGTCTTGATTCCTCAGCCATTCTTTTTCTTATAGTCTTATGAAAGTTTTCCTCGACTTAATACAATAAATCGCCTATAATAAAATATCTTTCCGATGTGCCACTTACTAATGGAATTTTTTGATTCACTTTGTAATAGTATCGTACCGTTTAGATTAATTGATAAATATGATAATAATTTCAAAACTAAATAAAATTTTACTGTGTAAATATATAGTCAAAACATTTGAAATTTATCAGAAAATATAAGAACCATCGAATGCAAAACACCAACTGAAAGAATTGACATCATTATGTTATAAACAAACTGGTCTCTAACAAAAATTGTAAACGTTTTCACTGTTTCAATGGATACTATAATTATTTATGTTATAAACCAGTATGGTTTTTTTGTTACAAATATCAAAATTAATTACTTAAAACTCATAAGGATTATTGTATGTGATCATATATTCAGGTGTCTTAACATGAATGTATTGACAATATTCTTTTAAAAATAAATTGGTATCTAACAAAAATTGTAAAAGGCTTCTCTGTTTCGATGGATATAAAATTATTTATTACACAAGTATTTCAATTTTGTTTGTAAACCTAATGTTTATTATAATGATAATTTATAGAAAAAAATTATGGATGTTATTGTGCCCTTCAAATAGCAATTATAATAATAATGTCAGCATATATTTTAATGATTTTTTTGTTCATAATCAGCTTAAAATTATAAAAAAAATTGTCATTTCAAATATGTTATTTTTGCCTCTCAATTTTTTAAAATATAAATACATTTTATAAATATCGAATTAGATAGGTATTATTGTTCTAACCTGTCCATATATTCTTTTCGTATACAAATTTTTCAACGAATTAATTCACAATTCTTCAACTAAGAGTATTAAATCTATTTCTTCTTTTTTCTCGCCTTTATCCTAAACGTCCACTTGACATTATCTCCAACATCATAAACCCCCACAGTAGTCGCCGTCATATCGCATTCAATAAAATTCCTACGTCTCTTTTTTGGACTTAATGTATCTTTTCTAGTCACTCCACTCATCCATCTAAAAATTCTCTAAAAAAATCATATAATTTATAAACATTTTTTAATATTTAATAATTATTAAAAATTTATTCGTCAGAAATAATTTTTTTTTTACTTCTCTAAAATATTTTTTGCTTCAGGAGGATTTTAATCTTAATCATAGTTATGTATAGTGATGAAACAATAACATCCTATAAATCTGTGTTATATTGTACTTTTAAAATTGTTGGCTTTCTATCAGCTGGATTGTCAAACAATAATACTGAAGTAACTATTTTGTGTATTGAATATATATTTGGTCAATTAATTATTGAAGGTAAATATTTCTATAATAATTAGAAATTCTACTCATTCATCTAAACATTCTCATATCTATTACAATCATTTTCTGCTCCACTTTCTTGTCAACCGCCCAACACTGAACTATCTGAGTATTAAATAAGATGACATAAAATTATAGCTTACTTAATATTGCAGTATCTAAAACGAATATGGGATAATATTCAACTACCTCTGGCATTTATTTTGTTAATAACTTATTATTAAATAACTCACCTTTGCACTTAAATATGTTTTATGATTCGCTTACATGCCTACAAGAACAAACTAACATTTATTATGCTTAAATATTTTATAATTGTAATCCCGATATCTAATTTTTAAAAAAATTTGTATTCTAAATCGTGATTTAAATTATTATTTTTTATAACTCTATTATTGATTTTTTTATTTACAAATTTATCATACCAGCATCTTTATATTTGTTATTGTTTAATCTTTTACTTCGTGTCACACAATTAACATGTTATGTTATCATTCAGTTCATCCGTAAATAAATAAAATAATATAATAAAAATTAATTATAAAATAATATTGAACATAATAAGTTGCTCTCTTTATTGTTTTTTAAACAATATTTTCTTATCTGCTCGAATGAAAAAGTAAACAAAATTTTATTTTTGAATATTCCATGGATCTTTTATAATAAATTTTAAAAATACTACAGCTATTATGTGCAATAACAAATTAGAAATAGATTTAATCAAATCTATTAATATTAATGGATGCATAATGGACCAAGATTTCACCAGAACATTATTAATCAATTGTCCACAGACTGTTATTGGTAGATTTTCACTCATAACTTTTAATACAGAGTTCTGTGCTTCTAATGGCCATACTATACCTATAAACATTTAGTTAAAATTAGTTTTTTTTTAAAACTTTTATTATATGAATTGAAACACATACTTTTATTATCATATAGTGTTTTTCATTATAAATAATGACAAAATATGATATTTTAAAATTATAATTTTTATCAAAACTTCTTTATTTTGAAGTAAAAATTAAATTTTTACTTCAATAATATTATTGTTTTAATTGAAACATACTTTTAACTACATACATTATTATACGGTATATTTTTGTTGAAGAATATCGTTCACACATTTTAACAACGTCGTACCTCAAAATAAAATATATTTGAATTATACTTGTTATCAGTCCTAAAAGAGAGGTTACATCGTTATATTTTAAACTCAGTGTATGATCCTGTATGTATTGTATTATATTGTATATTATGTATAATAGCTACTCGAGATTAGACTAAAATTCAATTTCGATAACTGTAGTTATTTTTCAAAATCTGTTACTTTTGGAAATTTTTTAACAGAGCTAAAATAAATTAGTGCGTTTTAAAAATCTAGATAGCAACTTAAAAAATAATTTATAAAAACATTTTTATAAGATTAATATTATATGTTATAATATAATATATTCGTTAAATTTGTTTGGATGAATAAAATAATATATCTCCTACTATACAAATTTAAATAACAATGTTTGTTACATAATAATTATTAAAAATTTATTCGTCAGAAATAATTTTTTTTTTTACTTCTCTAACATATTTTTTGCTTTAGGAGGATTTTAATCTTAATCATAGTTAAGTATAGTGATAAAACAATAACATCCTATAAATCTGTGTTATATTGTACTTTTAAAATTTTTGGCTTTCTATCAGCTGGATTGTCAAACAGTAATACTGAAGTTTCAAATCCATAATAACTTATGGATTTGAGCTACATTTTTATTTAAATAACTTGCAATGTGCATTTTTAATATCCATTAGAACAATCAAGCTTTTGATACATGAAGAGTGAATGTGTCAAACGTTCTATGTGCCAAAAACATATTTGTTCAGAAAACACAAAAAACAATGGTAACATGGGCATGTCTCACATATTGAACACCATCTATGAATGCAATTTTGTACAAGTAAAAAATTTAATTGACATTTGAAACACATACAAGATTGTGGCCATTGGCACATAGAAC